TTTTATCGCAATATGTGAGCCATTTTTGTATGTGTCTGGAGCGATAAAATGACGGTGTGTAGGCTATTGTCGGTGATACAGGATGCATGTCGAAGATACACTGTATCGCCGCAACAGAGGTAGCTCACGAACGACAAACGTTATGCCTTTCGTCGATTTTATTTAGAATCAGCTTCATAAATAAGAATTAGTATTTTTGACATGATTAATTATCGGACATTTTTTCAGCTAAAAAATATTTTTAGTATTTTTATTCTCTCTGAAATGTGAAATAATTTTAGGGCTTCTGTTAACAAAATAAGTACGATATTAAAATTTATAAATTCAAAAACAATTGCAGATATTTTAAGAAAATAATAAAACATACTTTTTGAAATTTAATTTTAAAATCTTAGATTTTATTTTTAGATAACAGTAATTTTTTTGCGACAGAAAACTTTTCTGAATAAATTAATACTAGCAACAATAAAATGAGAAATCAATCACAAAGTCAATATTTTCCTAGTAAGAATTTTTATATAATGTTTTTAGCTCAAATTTAAAGTTAAATTTTTTATTTTAATTTTTATACTTTAAATACATTTTTTGAGAATTTTAATTTTTTTATGATAGAAAAGTATCTTTAAATCAGACCAATTCAGGTATTATTTTAAGGAAACACGTTTTGCAGCAATTGAGAATGCGTACGTATATTTGCGAGAAGTTATTTAGGAATGACCAATGTCTCACGTAATTTGCGATACGGGATATCCGCGAGCTTTTATTGGTTAAGTGTCCTAATGAAATGAGTACATTTCGCGGAAGAGCCGGAGGAAAAAAGAAGGGGCAAGAGAGAGAGAGAGGAGGGGTAGGCCAAAGATAAAACAATTAAAAAGGATCCAAAGGACGGGCAGACGCGGTCGCGAGAGGGTCCGTCCAACAAAAAAGGACAATGTAACAGAAGAAAATAAAGGAAGGGGGAAGGAAAGAACACGGTGGACTCGAACGCGTCCAAGGACCAGAGGTCCTTGCTCTCCGAGTCATAGCGGCCCACAGACTCTCGTAATGCCTTCCTTGGATCCCTCTCAGAGGCTCTCAAGTCTGATCTATTCGGGTACATCAATATCGATATCAGATTCGCAATAAGCAATACATTTAATTATTATAAACGCGCGATATAGTAATATCATAATATTCTTATGCTATATAACTTTTCGGATAACAATTTGTTTTGACATTTCATCTAATTTATATAATCGCCTATATCATATGTCAAATGTCTAATTGGCGAAAGAGTCGGTCGCTGAGAGAGTCTCAATTAAAGGCGCTAGAAAGTACGAAACATTTCCTTAATTACTTTCTCGCCGGAACGCCTACATTCTCAACATTTTATGCGATTACACGCAACCGTAACCTCTCCGCACCACGCTGTGCGTTTCGTAATTTCGCGTGGTGACAGGTGTTGCGGTTTTCAACAAGGCTTTAATTCTTGCAACATCAACACAACATATAGGGTGCTGAGAATCTAAATTCAAGACTCGTTGAAGGTATACATTGAAGTATTTTTGAAAAATATTCTAGACTAATTATGAAACATTAAATATTAAAAGAAAATCATTAGGAAATATTATTTAAAATATTGTACAATATTCTAGAATTAAAAATATTTAAATTATGAAACATATTACTTTAGATCAAAGGAAAAAATGGATTAAGAATTATTTAAACAATTTGTCTTTAAAATATGCATCCGTTTATTTTAGAATGCTTGAAATAATTTTATACAATTGTATGGTTCACGATTCATAATATTATGTAGAATGATAATATTTCGAACTTTCAAGTCATACTTTGAAATACTATCAATTATGTAAGTTTGGAAATGTAGAAATCTGTTGGCACGTGTTGTTGCTGCATTCGCTCAATTATGGCAATATGCAACGCGTCAGTGTGACACTGCATTGCGGAACCTTGCACTGTCGCGGAATGTTGTATGAGGACGAAAAGAATGTGTTAAATCTGAAACTGACACATTTTCTCAATTATTGTTGAATCTCTGTTGATACATTTTAAATCACAAGATAGAATTCTAATTAGTTTTTATCTAGGATTAAACATCTTACATCTCATTTTATGTGAGAAAAATTTATTTGTGAAGTTAAATACATATCTTAAATTAGAAAACGCTTAAGCGGTTTTTGATAGAGAGAGAGAGAGAGAGAGAGAGAGAGAGAGAGAGAGAGAGAGAGAGAGAGAGAGAGAG